TGTAAAATGGATACTTTCAAGATATCACTATTTATTTCCCCAAGTTCTCTAGCTTCTATATCCTTCTCCACAGTCAACGCTGATGCAAAATACTTGTTGTGTATCTCACCCATGTCCTATGGTTCCATGTATAGGTGGCCTTGCTGATCTTTAAGGGACCCTGTTCTCTCCTGTTACTCTTTTGCCCTTAATGTATTTGTAGAATCCCTTTGGATTCTCCTGAACCCTATTTGCCAATGATATCTTTTCCCCTTTTTGCCCTCCTGATTTCCCTCTTAAGTGTACTCCTTCTGCCCTTATATTCCTGTAGGGATTCACTCCATCCCTGCTGTCGATACCTGATACACACTTCCTCCTTTTTCTTGACCAGAACCTCAAGTTCTCGGATCATCCAGTATTTCCTATACCTACCAGCCTTACCAAAAGCACTAACAGGAATACACTGTATCTGGACTGTTGTTGGCTTATTTTTGAAAGCTTCCCATTTTACAGCCATCTCTTTATCTGCAAATATCTGCCGCCAATGGACTTTTGAAAGTTCTTGCCTAATACCGTCAAAATTGGCCTTAGTCCAATATAGAACTTTAACTTTTAGGTCCACTGTATCCTTTTCAATCACTATTTTAAAACTAATAGAGTTATGATCAGTAACCCCAAAGTGCTTCCCCACTGACACCTCAGTCACTTGTCTTGCCTTGATTCTCCAGCATCTGCAGATCCTACTATCTCTGATTCAATTTTAACCCCACTGCGAAGCCTCTTCTAAGGATGCCTAGCCTGAAGAAGTTACCCTCCGGACCTCTCCTCTATCCATCTTCTATCCGCCTCCCACTCTCTCCCTATTTATTTCAGAACCCCCTTCCCCTCCCCCTTTTCTGATGAAGGGTCTAGGCCCGAAACGTCAGCCTTTCTGCTCCTATGATGCTGCTTGGCCTGCTGTGTTCATCCAGCCCTGCACCTTGTTGTCTCGGATTCTCCAGCATCTGCAGATCCTACTATCCCCAAGAGAAGGTTGGGTTTTGTTCCTTCTCTAGTAGGTACATCCACATACTAAATAAGAAAATTTTTGTGTACACACTTAACAAATTCCTCTCCATTCAAACCCTTAATGCTATGACAGTCCCAATCTGTTTGGAAAGTTAAAACCCTATTATTCTTACAGATTACCGAGATTGCCTTAAATTTTCTTCTCAATTTCCTGCTGACTATTAGAGAGTCTTTCGTATAATACCAATAAGGTGATCATCCCTTTCTTGTTTTCAGTTCTACTCAAATAACTTCACTGGATGTATTCCCCAGAATGTCTTCCCAAAGTACAGCGATAATGTTATCAAAAAACGCCACTCCCCTTCCTTTTTTTGGCCCTCCTTTCTATCCTTCCAGTAGCACCTATATCCTGGAACATTAAGTTGCCAGTCCTGTCCGTCCCTGAGCTATGACATCCAGTCCCATGTTCCCAAACGTGCCCTGAGTTCATCATGCCTTACCTGTCAGGCCTCTTGCATTGAATTAATTGCAGTTTAATTTATCAGTCGTAACTCATTCTCTGCTTTGCTGCCACCTGCTTTGACTGTTTGACTTGCTCCTTTTCCCAACTGCACCAGTCTCAGACTGATCTATTTTCTCGCTATGTCTTTGGGACCAAAGCCCCACCCTTACTAGTTTAAATCTTCCCAAGTAGCTGTAGCAAATCTTCCTACCGGTATATTTAGTCTCCTTCCAATTCAAGTGCAACCCGTTCTGCTTATACAGAAGAGACTCCAATGATCCAAACATATGAATCCTTCTCCTCTGCACCAGCTCCTCATGTTATCTGATTTTAAATGTCAGATCTCCATATTACTCATGGGGCAGAAAAGTAAAAGCTCATGGGATTCAAAGAAAGATCGTAAGTTTGTTCCAAAAATTGACAGACAGCAAGGAAAGGATATTGGTCAAAGAACACTTTGACTGCAATACTCTTTAGTGATCTTCCTGACACCTCAAGTAGCAGCTTTTTTTGCTGCATGTAGCAGTGATTTTGTCTTGAATTTGAGAGAGGCATGAGGAAGAAGTTTGACAAGATTTTTAAGTATCAGCCATTTGATTGAGACTGACGAAGAATGCTGTTGGTGACGAGATAACTGTGGACTAGTCGGTTGGACAAAAGGGTGATAAATGCAATTCAGTCTAGAGAAGTGTACATTTGGGGATGGAATGCTTGTCAAAGAAATACATAATAAAAGGTAAGATACTGAGAATGTAGAAGAGCAACAGACCTCATGAAACATCCACAGATTCTTGAAGTTAGCAAGGCATGTCAATAAAATAAGACATATTGTGAATTAAGGCATGAGTGTATGAGCAAAGTTATAGTTTATGACACATTAATTCAACAGCTACAAATATACTGCAGATAGCTCTGGTCATTGCATTCCAGCAAGATTGTGACATACTAGAGTGACCAGGCCAGTTAAGGCACACGGGAGTTTGGCAGGGTTGGATGGTATTTATTTTAATGCAAGGAGTCTGAGAGACAAGCTAAGGTTGAGGGCACAAATTAAAACCTGGGTATGATGTCATTGTCATCACTAAGATATGGTTGTGAGGGGCAGGATTGGCAGCTCGATATTCCAGGAGACAGGAAAGGAAGTAAAAGAGGAAGGGGTGTTGCAGTATTATTCAGGGGATCAATTACAACAGTTCGGAGGCTCCTCAAATGAAGCATTATGGGTGGATCTTGAAAACCAGAAGGGAGCAATCATGTGAGTGCTACAAAAGCCCCTTTTTATAGGGAGAGTACAAAATCCCTTGAACCGAGAGAAATAGAAGAGCAGCCATGTAGGCAAATTTCAGAGAAGTGTTCAAGTAATGCAGTAGTGATAAGGGGGACTTCAACTTCCCAAACTTAACTGTGATAGTTGTTGTGTGAAAGGTTTAGAGGGAGCATACTACTTAAAAGAATCCAGCAGAGCTTTATAAGTCAGTTTGAAGGAGGCCCAATAAAAGAGGGAGCACTCCTGGACTTAAATTTTCAGAAATGCAGCTAGGCAAATGATTGAAATATCAGTGCAGAGGAGTATTGTAGTCAGCAATCATAACTCAGATTCAAGATTGTTATGGAAATGACAAGCAAGGGCCTGAAATCAAAGTTCTCAACTGGGGGAAGGCCAATTTTAATAAGATCAGATTCAGAGTTGGCCAGAATATACTGGGGACAAATACTGATACGAAGTGTGTAGAATACTCATGAATTGAAAAACAGTGCACGGTCCCTTTTAAGAATTAATCTTGGAAGTTTGCAAGCATTGTACAGAGAGCCCCAAAATTGAAATAAGTGTATCAAAAGGCCTTGCAGGTGGCAAGCAAAACAGCAGGCTTGTATTGATATTTTGACAACAAGTTTGAATTTGCCCAGTTAATTTAAACCAAGCACTTAGTGATTCAAAGCCATTTGAATTCAAAACCTGATGGTGTTGACAACCTGAAACCGATCATGTGATAAGAATTTGATGGGTCATTGAGGGTATAAAGAGGAGGGCATTTGGAAAATGGGGGAGAGCCATCTGCCATCTGAAAAGTAAACCTAGCAGTCACAACATATCGTTAAGCTCGCTAAAAAGCACCATCAAAGGTATCACAGCATTTTTATTTTTAGCTCAGAGAAAACCTCTTGACTTGTGATCAAGAGAAGGCAGAGTGTTCCAGAAGAACTTAGATTAAATTTTAGAGATAGTAGGATTAATTGGGTTTACATAAGTGGGACTAGTGTTTATTCGAACAGCATTCCAGTAGATTTTAGTTCAATTAGGGAATAGTTAGTATTTAGGGGGAAATTCGTCGATTTGTTAGTATCTCTTTTAATTTGTTCATTGTTAGGGTTAAAGAAATAAGTGGTTACTTGTTACTTATAAAGTGGAGATCAAGGATTTTCTTTCCTTTAATCAATCTTCTAACAGATTACACGGGGAAAGGTGAGCTTCTCTGGGTGTTTCGGGGTTAATTATAAGGGAACCTCTACTCCCAACATAACAGATTGGTACTTACGTTAATTATCAGAGGGGGTCAACTTTCCCCTTCTTCGTAACAATACCTTTAGGTAAATTTGTGTCAGAACTTCAAGGAATAAAATAGGTAGGTATAGGGTCAGCAGGAGAAAGGGAAGCTTATGACGGATACAGAGGGCTAAAAACAGCAGAATCCCCAGAGGAGTATAGAATATGCAAGGAGGAACTTAAAAAGGAAATTAGGAGTGCAATAGGGGGCATAAAAGGATGTTGAAAGGCAAAATAAAAGAAAATCAAAAGTCCATTTGCAAGTATGTCAAGGGTAAAAGGATAACTAGATAAACATTAAGGACCAGGGGCGCTAATTTGTGCTTAGAGCCCGTGGATGTAGGTGCTGTTCTAAATGAATGTCTTGTGTCTGTGTTCACTTGTGAGAGGGGGCGATATTGGTATAGAAAGCAGGGAGAAGGACTGCAATATATATTTTGGAATTGGCAACGATCGGACGTTCTGAGTGCTCTAGTAGGCTTAAAAGTAGGTAAATTTGCAGGGCTGGATATAATGTATCCAGGCTATTTACTGAGACGAGAGAGGAACTAGCAGGGGCGTTGGCAGTTACTTTCAGTTCGTGTCTGACCTCGGGAGAATCATCGAATCCCTACAGTGTGGAAACAGGCCATTTGGCCCAACAAGTCTGCACCGCCCCTCCAAAGAGCATCCCACCTGGACCCATCCCCCTACCCTTTCCCTGTAACCCTGCATTTCCCATGGCTAATCGACCTAACTTACACTCCCCTGGACACTATAGGCAATTCAGCACGGCCAATCCACCTAACCTGCGCGTTTTTTGGACTGTGGGAGGAAACCGGAGGACCCAGCAGAAACCCAGTCAGACACAGGGAGAATGTGCAGACTCCACACACATAGGTTCAATTCCACTCTTGGGACTATTTGTTGGCGCTGTGAGGTGCTAACCACTGAGCTAACGTGTCAGAGGACTGGAGGGCGGCCTACATGGTACTGTTATTCAAGAAGGGAGTAAGGGATAAACCAGAAAACTGCAAGCAACTAAATCTCACATTTGGGGTAAGTATTGAAAACAGTTCTGGGGAACATTAATCTGCACTTGGCAAGGCAGACATTAATCAAGATGGCTCAGTGTGATTTTGATAGGTGAGATCATGTCTGACCAGTTAATCTTGTGTTATTGGCGCGGTACTTATCTAGACAAACGAAGAGTATTTGATCACACTGCTGACTATACTGTTTAAATGACGGAGTTAGGTGTAAAACCTTTGCCACAGTATGTCCTACCTCTGTCCTTCCAACACTGTTTTGATTTAGCCCCATCCTTCCTCTTTTGATGGCTTACATTGCCCTTAACGGGCTTTGAGCGTAAATTATTCAATTAGAAACACGGGTGATTAACTAGTAGTGGTTAACAGATGGAAAAATATATGTGGATAATTTGATGTGGGGGAGAAAAGGTTCAGTTGTGTACAAGGGAACTTATACCTCTGTCATCTGGGCTAGGAAGCCCAAGTTCAAATCCCACCTGCTCGAAGTATGTAGTAACGTCTCTGAACAAGTTGATTAAAAATGTTATCCCTGTCCTGCTCTTGTCCTGACTTGACCAGCTAAGTTTCAGGTCAAGGTTGATTCCTACCTCTCCCAAAATATTGATGATGAGGCTTTAAATTAAGGTAATAGCTTGAAAGAATGCTGAAGGCAGATGGTTATATTCTGCCTTCTGGGAGAGACCTTTGCTTGTCCCTCAGGCTAACTCTGAACCGTGTCCAGGTCTATCTGCATGGCTCAAACCTATTATCCTTTTTTCAGTAACCAACAGAAATTAGGTTGTGTCCTCTTTTTAGCTTTGTTCTCTTTACCTTGTATCAGTGATGGTAAAAATACTATCTGCAACAGAATAAAAGTGCACTTGAGTCAAACTGCGTTTGATTTTTAAATATTCACTTAATTTTTCTTTTGTATGGATTTCAGCTTGCAAAAAATCTGCCTCCACGAACTGTTGGTTATCCGTGGACACTAATTTACAGTACTGCAAAGCATGGCATGAGTCTGAAAACGCTGTACCGTAGTATGACTGGTATTGATACACCGATGCTGCTTGTTATTAAAGATAGCGATGGCCAGGTACAACATGGATATTTACAGAACAGAATGTATAACTTTTATTCGTTTAATTTTAGAGGTCAAATTTTATTGCATACTGTGCCATTAATTGTGAACGAAGTATTAGTATCTCAAATACTGAAGTTTTCTGAACAAGCTACAAGGTTTTATGAGATGTTATATTTTGTATGTTTATTTGTTCTGACAGTCCTTTCCTTTCTGATATACTTTATTCTATGTTTCCAACTTCTGTTATCTTTAACTACTACTTTTTACCTCAGTGATATACTATCTTTGTTTGCAATGCAGCGGAATGCCAGCAGCATGGGTTCAACTCCCATACCAGGCAAGGTTACTATGAAGGACCGTCCTTCTCAACCTCACCCCTCGCCTGAGGTATGGTAACCCTCACGTTAAACCATCACCAGTTGTCTCTGTCTAATGAGAGAGCAGACCTCTGGGACTATGGCGAGTTTACTTTCATTATTTTATTTATCCCATTGTAATGCTCCTTCACTGTTCCTGTCTGCTGCTGCTGCTTTCTAAAGAGTGATGTGGTCCACTCAGCCATAACCCTTGACCATGTTCCCTTGCTCCAATTCCCCTTTTACCCACTGTGCCTGGAGAGAAATATCCATTTCATTTTAGGGGCTATGGAGGGCATTGCACAAGAATGAGCAGGATACATGAAGATACAATGGGCAATGGTGAAAATATCAGCAAGATTTCAGAAAGGTTTAAATGAAATTGATTGGTAGCCTGACAAATATTGTTTATTAATCATTTCCTTATTACCTGATTCCCATTATTTGATTTTCTATTCACAGATATTTGGTGCCCTAGCATCTGAACCATTCAAAGTTAGCGATTGTTTTTATGGAACTGGGGAGACCTTCCTTTTCACCTTTTATCCTGAATTTAAAGTAAGAAAATTAATTGGTCAGGAACGTGATGCTTTTATAATTTAAGTTAATATTTTAGTAGTTATATCTATAATAAAGGAGTCATATTTTTTCCATCAGGTGCATGCCATGCTCTCTATAGAATATTCTTGTCAGTTCCATTCCTTGCTCTGTCTCCAAGTGCCTGCACAATTTGCTCTTAAATTAGGTTATCACTTCTGTATCCACCACCAGCAAGTTCAGGTAATCACCACTCATTCTGAGAAAAGGTTTTTCTCCCCATTCCCTCTCCTTGCTCTCTGCATTTCTTGCTGAAAACCTTGCAAATAGAAGCAATTTTCCTTTGGTTATCTGTCATAATCTTGCAAAGCTGTATTAAATCACCTATTAATTGCCTTTGATCCAAGAAGAACAACCTAATATCTTAGCAAAAATCTCCTATTCCTGAAATCATTCAGCCCATGCCCCCATCAAAGCTGTTTGTTCCAATACAGCTACAGTACTGGCATCTACCTGACAGTGTGGAAAGTGGCTTGATGCCCTGTATACACAATAGGACCAATCTAGTCCATCCAATTATTACCCTTTGATCTACTCTTGATCGTTAGTAAAGTGATACAAGATATCAGCAACAGTGTTATCAAGCAGCGTTTGCATAGCAATAACCTAGCCTGACACTCAGTTTCACCAGGACCACTCAACTCCTGACCTCATTACAGCCTTGGTCCAAACATGGATAAAAAAGCCAAACTCCAGACAATGGTGAGTTTGACATCAAGACTGTGTTTGCTTAAAGTGTGGCTCAAGAAGTCCAAGCAAAGCTTGAGTCAGTGGAATCAGGGAAAGCTCTTCAGTGGTTAGAATAGAATAGAATAGTCATTTATTGTCACTTGTATTTTTTACATCAAAAAAAAGTGCAAATTGTTTATGTTGTCATACTACGACACCTATATTAATAACAGAAGACATAGATAAGAAAAATTTCTAACAATTAAAACAAAGACCATCTTAGTTGAATTTCATGGCTTTTGAGTTCAGGAAAAGACAGTACTCAGGAGCACCACATTGGGCTGGGAGCCACCACCAAAGCAGCCCATCTGTGCTGAAACTACAAAATCCCGAAGCCTCCGCCAAGGACACATTTCATTGCTAATCACAGAAGGAAGATGTTGCAAAATGGGCTAAAGGAATCGCAGACCAAAACCACCTCATGGAATTCCGGGCTGTGCCACCGAAGCAGACCACCACTGGACTTGGCTCAATGGCTACAGGCAACTGTCGTCACTTACCGCAGAAGCTGCCTGAAATATCCCTCCTCCACCGATGTAGCAGTCGATACTGGGTCTCTGTTCGCCTCTCTGCCAGCAGTCTCCTCGACGCTACTCCAGACTCACCAGCTGCTTCACTGCTGTCTATCAGGGTGCCTTCCTACCTCCTGCCAAAAACGAGAAAAGAAGAAAAAGGGGAGATTTCACCAGCCGAAATAGCTCCATTGGGAGAGCATTAGACTGAAGATCTAAAGGTCCCTGGTTCAATCCTGGGATCGGCATGGTGGCTCACTGGTTAGCACTGCTGCCTCTCAGTGCCAGGGACCTGGTCAATTCCACCCTCTGACGACTGTCTGTGTGGAATTTGCACATTCTCCCTGTGTCTGCGTGGGTTTCCTCCGAGTGCTCCAGTTTCTTCCCACTGTCTAAAGATGTGCAAGCTAGGTGGATTGGCCATGCCAAATTGCCTGTAGTGTTCAGGGATGTGTAGATTAGGGGAATGGGTCTGGGTGGGATGCTCCGAGGGTCGGTTTGGACTTATTGGGCCGAAGGGTCTGTTTCCACATTGTAGGGATTCTATGATAACGACGATGATAAAGAAAAGCAGACCGAGTTGGTGAGCCCTGTGCACAGGAGTAGGAATCACACCTGGCACAACGGAAAGACGGCTACTGTTGTTGGAGGTCAACCATCTCAGTCCCAAGACATCTCTGCAGGAGCTCTTCAGAGTAGTGTCCTAGGCATCCCCGTCTTCAGCTGCTTCATTATGAATTTGCCTCCATCATGAGGTCAGAGTTGGCGATTGCACAGTGTTCAGCGCCATGCTCAACTTCTCAGTCACTGAAGCTGTCCAAATTAAAATGTAGCAAGACTTAGACAATATCCAAGCTTGGACTGACGAGTGAGAAGTAATGTGTGCGGCATTCTTCAGAGGGGTGTTATTGGTGAGATGGTACTTGTGTCCTCCACTGTGAAACCTGATCCGTAATATTAATTTAGTGACTCTGCCATTTGTGTTCCCCAATTGCATCTTCCAAGGGGCCAAAAAATAAGTTTGCCTACTCTCTTTCCTTTTATATTACTTGCCAAAGCTTTTGCTATCCATTTTTACATTTTGTGATAGTTTTCATAACTTATCTTTGCGTTTTTTATGGCTTTTTAGTAACCCTTTTTTAATCTTTAAAATTTGCTTGCGGACACTTGCTACAGATGTGGTCGCTGTGAACCACAGTGGGATCCATCAGCTCCCACATCATGCAAGTACAACACATTGCTTGGCCCTGCATCTCTTTTATTTACTGCTTAATTTCCTACTAATCTCTAGTTTTTAATCTGTAAGATATTTCTCCTATTTATCTTTAATCAGGAAGCAGTTTATTGTCAAATTAGCAACGAATCAATAAACTTAGTTTTCCTGTGATGTCAATCTGATTTATGCTGGACCTCCGATCCTTGGCTTCAGTTTACCCTGTTGAAAAGACCTTACAAACAGCTTTGTTTTTAGGCTCAGCTTGTAAGGCCTTGTAAGAATAAACAGGATAAATTGAAGCCTGGGATCAGGGACCCAGCACAAAATACTTCCTTCACAGGTGAACTGTAAGTTCATTGCTAATAGCTACTAATTTGTTTATCTTTTATAGGTTACTTTCAGATTGAAGTTAAATAAGGGAAATATATTTTCAGGTTACAAACCAAAGGACCAGTGGGATTTTTTAAAAACCAAATAAGAACTCCGGGATGCAGGGCCAAGTGATGTGTTGTACTTACATGATGTGGGAGCTTCATCTGTAACAAATATTGGTTGCTTGAGGAGCCTCAACTACACTCTCAGGCTCAGAATTGATAAGCTTGCGAACACTGCGACACAGCGGGGAGGAGAAGAGCTACCTGAGCGATTGTGTTTCAGGAGGCAGTCAAATCCCTCAAATTAACTACCTCGAATTCAGTCAGGGACAGGAGGATGTGACTATGAGCGAGGTAGGCAGAGGGATCCAGGAGGTAGCGCTGAAGAAGGCTCAGCTCTTGTGTGTCTAACAGGTTTGAGATTCTTGCTCCCTCTGTCGATGAGATCGGGTCTTGCAGCATCTGTAAAGAGAAATCAGAGTTAACGCTTTGAGTCCAGTAACCCTTCCTCAGAACTCTTCAGAAGATGGTAGGGCAGTTGCTTGTCCTTAACCTGTTTGAAAGTACATTACCTCTCACTTCTCTATTAAATTTGTGTGTTCTGCTAGCCTCGCCACACATGTTGCAATCAGTTGGTATCACTCTCCATGTCTCTTATACCTGCAGATTTGCAGATTAGCTAGAAATTGGAAAAGTGTTCAAAATAATTAAGGATCTTGGCAAAGTGGACAGGAAGAAACTGTTCCCATTGACAGAAGAGTAAAAAAGAAATGAATCAACCTGTTTGGCTATATGATACCTCTGGAGCAGGTGAGACTTGACTCCAGGCTTTCCTGGCCCAGAAGTAGGGACACTACCACTGCATCACAAGAGCCCTCCAGCAGAGGATCAATGGTTTGATAACACTGATTCAAAGTGAAGGGCCAGAGGAAACCTGTTTTTACAGAGAGTGATTAGGCTCTGGGAGGACCCTGTTTGAAAGTGTGGTGGAGCTCGTTTCACGACAGCCCTTTATAAGGGGAATTAATCATCTAAAGAACTACAGGGCACAGGTGTGGGACCAGGACTATTTTGCAGAGAGTCAGCATGGACAAGATGGATCAAATGGCTGCCTCCTGTGTTATAACCACTCTGCAATTCTCTGTTCTATTTGCAAATTCCAAGAAATGTGTTGCTTTGTAAATAAATGATCAAAAATACAAACATATTTGAAATGTGTTTAGTATTTCATCTAAAAACAAAGTGTTTCTCCAGGGAAGTCAATGTTAGAATAGCCAAGTAGCTGAATAAACTGCATTTCATTTTGAATGGAAATTGTGGGAGTAATTGCAGTGTGTTGTAATAGTGCAAGTATTACAAAGTTACACAAACACTTTTTTCTAAGGAAATTATTGTTTTACAGATATTCAAATGGACAGGTGATAATATGTTCTTCATAAAAGGAGACATGGATTCCTTGGCCTTCGGTGGTGGAGGGTAAATGATCAACAGATGTTTTCATAGCATATTAAGTCGATAGCTTTGTCAGATTCAGAGGAATTCTGGCCGGTAATGCAAAGAATTAGGTGCATTTTTAACCAAAATTATGTGAACAATATATTTTAAATGAGCATTTTTTTAATAACATTGGAAGAATGGTTAGTCACAGTTGTGTATTGACCGCACCATATCATATCACATCAAATAAAACTTCACACGCTGAATTTATTGTAAAACACTATCTTTGTTAATAGGATCAGAAGACACATGACACCAGGTTATAGATCAACAGGTTGATTTAAAATCTCAAGCTTTTGAGTGCTACAGCACTTTCCTTGGGCGACAGGGTGGCTCAGTGGTTAGCACTGTTGCCTCATAGTGCCAGGGACCAGGGTTCGATTCCACCTTTGGTCAACTGTCTGTGTGCAGTTTGCACATTCTCCTCGTATCTGCATGGATTTCCTCTGGGTGCTCCGGTTTCCTCCTCCGGTCCAAATTTTTTTTTTTTAAATAGAATACCTACAGTGTGGAAACAGGCCCTTTTGGCCCAACAAGTCCACACTGACCCTCAGAGCATTCCATCCAGACCCATCCCTCTATAACTCACCTAATCTATGCATCCCTCAACACTACGGGTAATTTAGCGTGGCCAGTCCACCTAACCTGCATATCTTTGGACTGTGGGAAGAAACCAGAGCACCTGGAGGAAACCTACGCAGACGCAGGGAGAATGTACAAACTCCACACAGTCGATCAAAGCTGGACCGAACCTGGGTCCCTGGAGCTGTGAGGCAGCAGTGCTAACCACTGAGCCACCATGCAGATGTGCAGGCTAGGTGGATTAGCCATGGAAAAATTGTCCGTAGTGTTGAGGGCTGCATAGATTAGGTGAATTATAGAGGGATGGGTCTGGGTGGAATGCTCGGAGGGTCAGTGTGGACTTGTTGGGCCAAAGGGCTTTCCACACTGTAGGGATTCTATGATACTCTTTCTTCAGGTGGAATCTCATGAGGGAGCAACGCTCCGAAAGCTTGGTCTATAACCTGGTGTTGTGTGACATCTGACCTTGTCCACTCCAATCCAGCACCAGCATCTCCACATCTTTAGTAAAAGAAAACACAGCAGCTGTTCCATTCTGCAAAGACCAATGTGATGGATAGCCTGTTAATCTGGATCTGAGGGAACAGTTGATTCAGATGCTGGGACTACTGCATATATGCAGAAATAGGTAACTTCTTACATAAATATTTGGTATTCATTTTTCTGCTGCTTCCCAAAATTATTGATTATCATCTTTGTCTAAAGATGACTCAATTTTTTGAAAATGTATAAAACACATCCACATATGTGGAGGCATTTATTGGACACAAGTACTGGAATAAAATTACCCATTCACCTCATTTGGAAAAAAAACTTTACCTAAAACACAGATTACAGCCAGCTATTATTGGGAAAAGTGATAAAATGTTCAAGTCATTTCAATATCCGTTTCTGTAAGAATTCACTGCGTACTCATTACATATATAACAGGCACAATCTTTAGTATTTCCTTCTAATTCTGCTGCTTAAGTGTGATGCTCAGCAACTCCTGAACAGAAAACTGAAAAATGTAGTCAGAAAAATGTTTCACTGTTTATATGTCCACATGTAAGCAAGTGCAAATCTTGATCAGACCTTTTAAAGAGGAGACTAAACGAGTGGACTGAAGAATGTCTATTGCTACTAACATAACTAGGAGCAGGAATTCAGTGACTTGAGCATGCTCAACCATTTAATATAATCATGGCTGATCTCATTTTTGTCTCAACTCCACTTTCCTACCCATTTTCCATAATCCTGTTAATAATTAAAAATCTACCTTCTTAAATTTATTCAGTGTCCTGGTTTCTGTTGCACTCTGAGGTAGGATTAATTACATTGGGATAATACAAGTATCTATATTTGAGTCTTGACTATTCACTCTGTTCATTATATAAGGCTATATGTCTCTAATATTCAAAATTACTAATATTACACATATAACTGCCCTTTTTAAGCAGGGATTATTGGTAAGTGGGCAATTCTGGAGGAGCCAAAATGGAGTTGGGACCTAAAAAGGTTAAAACGAGATCCTTTTCCCCATCCATTTTGACCTAGTTTTCCACTACTTAGAAAGTATGTCTAAGTTTTGAAGAACATAGAGCTGAGTGTTACAGTTTCTTTGCAGTCTAATAATGTGAAAGAACCAAACTTCCCAAATTACCCCAACAGAACCCCCAAAGGGAGAAGCTTTAGAGTATTTTAACACTTTGTATCAATCAAATGGAAAATGAACATTATTTACAGACTATAAATTACTTGTGAAATGGCAGATAAAATTAAGGCTCATCTTAGGAATGGCAGCCCTCCTGAGTAGAGCGTTGAGAGATTCTGGACAGTAAGAGGTTTAACACCATTTTGAAGACTCTAAGCTTTGCCTGGATTGATCCTGACAACTAAGAGACACATGCTTCCCTCCCAACCCTGCAACTCTTCGTGCCTGACTTGCCACTTCCTATTGTGAACTGTTGCTGTAAGATGAGAGAAAGCAAGCAGAAGGGTCAAGGAGGGAGGGGTGGACACTAAGGAAGCCACAAGAAATATGAACTGCACAAAAGGCACGTAATGAATACTGTTGGTTCAAGCTAAAGGCGGCAAAATGGAGACCATTACTGGCAAATGCTGCAATAACTGGCTTTTGCTACAGAGCACCTCAGGTACTGTTGAAGTGCTCCATTGCAAGAGTTCCATTGTAATGTAACATCTCCACAATGATTATTGTTACCTAGAATGAGGAGAAGTTTTTAAACCCAGTTGCTCATTCCACCACCCCTCTTTTAAATTCTACCTTCTTTTGCTCTTTCTCCTTTGAGTTCTACTTGATGTCTAGCTGTCTCTATTTGTATTATTATGAACATTCTTCTCATGCTTAAACTCCAAATGATGAATCCGTTGGTAACAAACCCTGCCCATTTTAGCTCCTGATTTTAAGCTGATTCCCATTTCTCAGCAGTAGTCTTCATATTATTTTGTGTCAGCCCACATGGACTTCAGCAAAGCTTTTGAAAAGGTCTACACGGTATATAGTGGGCATCCCACGGCAGTCCGTGTTGGAGCCCTTCCTGTTCGTGGTTCACATAAATAATTTAGACTGGAATATAGGAGAGTTGTTCAGTGCGTTCACAGTTGATACAAAAATTAGTGGGATAGTAAATAGGAGGAGAGGCTTAGATTACAGGAAGATATAGCCAGCTGGCTGACCAGTGACAAATGGAATTCAATCCAGATAAATGTGAGGTGATGTTTGGGCAGGAAGACGAGGCAGGGGAATATGTGAGGAACAGTAGCACCTGGCAAGCACCGAGGATCAGAGGGATTTTGCTGTGCATGTACACCAGTCCCTTAAGATTGTAGGACAGGTTAAGAAGGCTTAAGAAGGTTACTTGGCTTTATTAGCAAGGGCAAAGAGTTTAAGAGACAAGGAAATGATGCAGGAGCTGTGTAAAATGACGGTTAGGCCACAACGAGAGTAATATGTGCTGTTTTCTGGGATCCACGTAAGAGGATGGATGTGATTGCATTGAAGAGACTGCGGAGGAGATTGACCAGGATGTTGCTTGGGTTGAAGAGAGTTTGAACAGACTGGGGCTGTTTTCCTTAGGGCAGTGGAGATTAAGAGGGGACATGATTGACATATATAAAATTGAGGGGCAGAGATAGAGTAAGCGGGGAGAAATCTTTCCCCTTGATGGAGGGATCAGTGACGGGGCATAGATTTAAGGTAAAGGTCGGAAGGTTTACAGGAAGTGTGAGGACTTTTTCACCCGGAGGGTAGTGGGAATTTGGAGCTCACTGCCTGTTAAGGGTGGTTGAGGCAGAAACCTTCATAATGTTTTAGTAGTATTTAGATGTGTGCTTGCAATGCCAAAGCTATGGGTCAGGTGATGGAAAATGGGATTAGAATAGTTAAGTGGGTTTTTTTGACCAGTGAGGATGTGATGGGCCTAAGGGCCCTTTTCTGTGCTGTAGATGTCTTTGACTTTGTTCTCTCAAAAACCCGAGCCCCAATGGCGCTCCTAGTGAATGCAGGAAATAGGGAATCTTATTATTTAAATTCTGCAAAATTCGAATGTTTTTCTGTTTTATGGTCTTCTTGTATCATCCTGCAAGAGCCCCCAATTTTCTTTTTTACAGATTGTGTTGCACTCCAATACCAAAAATACTAAACAACCTTAATGAAAACCCCACTCAAGGATGCACTCTTTTCTGTAACAATCAATCCCAAAATCAGCCTTAATCAAATATCAGGGCAAAGTGCAGGTGGTTATGAAGTATAAATTATACATTAACTGGTAGGCATTATTCAAATCTTGACAGTCCTGTCGTTATATCTCTCACCAACCATCACCAAAGTCTTTCAAAGCTCTCAGCGGTCCCATGATTTTTTAAAATATTTTATACTTCCTGGTTTATTACTTCCACCAGTCGTAGAGATTTACATTAAGGGAAAATGTGTCTTCCTGTCTACCGTATCTACGCCCCGAATAATTGCCCCATCTCAATCATATCCCCTTTCAACTTCCTCTGCTGCAAGGAAAACAACTCCACTCTGTCTAATTTCTCTTCATGGCTTTTAGGTTCAGTGCAGTTGCATTGCTCTTATAACGTGGGTCCCAGAAAATGGCACATAGTACTCTAGCTGTGGCCTCCTCATTTTTAGACTGTACCAGCATCCTTTGGTCTTGTAATTTCTAAATGTATCCACGCTAGTGATTTTAGCCTGTTTTGTCATCCTTCTAAAATACATCTACAATTTCTCATACAAAAGAAGTCTTAAGTTGATTAATATATTTTTGATCATAGTTCTGTAACTGATGATCTTTATTCTTTACAGAGGAGAAATTGGATTGTGGTTGGATGGGGATCTGTACCACGGACGTAGCCACTCTTGTAAAACGTTTGACAACTGCATACTCTCAAAAAGGGAAGACTTCTATGTACAGGACATTGAAATATGGGCTTTTGAATGAAAAGACAAGTTTTTCATAAGCACTGAAGAAATTCAATGCCTGTGATGGAAGGCCCTAAATCTGACCAAGCATCGGTAACGAGGTTGAATTTACGCAAGTGAAAAAGAATTGTCGTCAGTTGAGCCACCCAACCACTTTTTTGTTACCAGATTTCTAAATAAAATTTCAATCTGAACCTAATCCATTACAAGTAACAAACACCTGTTTTTAAAAGTCAAAACACCAGCCTGTTCACATTCTATCAAGTTATAGTAAACCCAATCATGTTGAACTGAACCCTGACAAGCTGCAGCTGCACTAAAATGATGGGGTCAGGAATCACCCTAATAAATTCTCATTGAAATGGATCAATTTCAATGCCCATTTACTTTTGATCTGTTTGAAGAGGGTATTTGGGTAAGGCTGTCACTGATGATGGTGCTGCAGGTTTGGGACTGATGCTGTCAACATTTTGGGTCAGCTGACAAAAACAGCTAGGTTGACATTCAGCCTCTTTATAGCGCTTGATGCAGTTGTGTGGCCAAACCCATGAAAGAAGTAAAAATGTGTTCAGGAAGAAGCCTCATGTTGCTTTGACAGAAATATGATAAATGACAGGATTTTGCAGGGTAATTTCATTCTGCCGGTGTAGTTTTCTGCAAACGTGAAGAAGTAGAAACAGTATTTATTGGTCATATATTTATCCTACTGTTTAGCTTCATTAGCACACCAAACTCCCAAGCACCATAGTTGTGCTGTCCATCAGTGGGCGTATGTTGTGTGTATAGCTAATGCCACCCTAAAACAGAATAGTTATAGATACTGTAGATGTTAGGATAATTCTGTAGACTTGTGGAATTTACACATTATTGTCAAGTAATGTTGAACAATCTTGGCAGGCAATATATAACAATTTCTGCCCTGGTCATAGCAAATGATTAATGCCAACCAGAGATTAACAAAGCAGTTTCAGAATGCAAATAACCCTAATCCTATCGCAGGTTTTCTTTGTATTTTGTCAAGTCTGAAACCTGATTGTGTTTTACAAAATATTCCTGTGCTGGGTGTGAAATTGGTTTCCTTCATCCTGAAAATCCAGCTGTTCAGATGCATTGTATTATATTATTCTGCGAATCAAAGTACTGCATTGTTCCTCGGTTTAGAAAATGAAATGGTGAGTTGCTTATGGTACTTTGAATTATGACATAAATAAACACAGGTCAGTTAATTTTATTGGCTTTAGTTGTTGACTTGTATAGTTTATTTCCAAATTTAAAATGTTGAACTGATGGGAGACAGTTGCTGCAGTCAAAAAGGGCATATTAATATTGTGGACTGTTTATTTATGCTGAATGTGAAAAATGTAGAGCATCAGTTCTCTCATTTCTGCCTAATGTTCTGGAACTTAGTTAGGATGTAGCCTGAATGTTTACAGATTTTGGAAGTGAATTGTAAATAAATACAGCAGCTTTTATTTCCTTTGTCTTCCACAGCAGTATTATTGTCTTTGCGGAGTTACAGTTGCCGATCAAAAATATTTAAAATCATCTTAGAATTATCACAACACTGCAATGTAACATTGATGAATAGTAGAATAAATTATTGGAACCGAATACCCTGGTCTGAATTCATTCAGTTTCAGTGAATCATACAGTCCATGAAGAGCCAGTTTTTTTTTAAATTTGCTTATGGGTTTCTGGCTTGGTCAGCAACTATTGCCATTCCTAATTGCCCAGAGAACAGTTGTGTCAATGATCTTGTTGATTGGCTCAGTTGGGAAAATAAGTAGAGTGCGCTCCTGAATAATGTTAATATCACAGGGATAAACCCCAAATCAACTGTGCAAGAGTCCTGCATCTTTGATTGCCGTGGTTGATGGTTATATAATCACTTTATCTCTCCTATGGAGAGAGCGAGATATCTTTATAATCATTTGTGCAAATGACTTATTATCTAATGCATGATTTTTATTAACATTTTTGTTTGGCATTTAAATGTCACAAAATTTTTGCACATTGTTTGTGAGCTCTACCTTCATTACGCTGAGTGGAATGAATTATGTTGAGAAGAATTCCTGGGCTGCACTGTTCTATTCATCTACGTAAACACAATTCTGAGCAGATGTTACGAAAGTCACCAAAGGCCTTAAAATCTGATGCTGATTGCAGCAAAATGCTTATTTCAGTGATGTAAGCACATGTAAACATCAAAATCGCATTTTAACCAAATGACTCAAACTTTGATGCAGATTGTACTAAAATGCTTCTTTCTGTGAGATGAGTGCAGTTGAATGTCAAAACCTCAACGTCACCAAATATCTTAAAATCTGATGCTGAATGCAGTAAAATGCTTATTTCAATCAGGTAAGCATATGTGAACATCAAAATCTCATTTACCAAATGACTCACAACTTGGTTGTCGTAAAATGCTTATTTCAGTGAGATGAGCACTTTGGCACATCAAAATCTCACATTTGCCAAATGGCTCAAAACATGATGCTGATTTGACTAAAATGCTTATTTCGGTGAGATAAGCCTTTTGGAACATCAAAATCTCACATGCACCAAATGACTCAAAAGTTGAGCTCTTTTTCTTCTTTCCTTTTTCTTCTTTCCTTCTTTTTCTTCTCTCTTTTTCTTACTCTTTTTCTTCTCTTTCTCTTTATTCATTGTTTCTCTTTTTCTTCATTTTTTTTCTTTTACTTCTCTCACCTTTACTTTCTTTTTCTTTCACTCTTTTTCTTCTTTCTGTCTCTTCATTCTCTGTCTGTTCCTTTTCTCCCTCTTTCTTCTTTCACTTTTTTCTTCTACCTCTGTCTTTCTTTGCCTTCCTTCTTTCTGTCTTTGTCTACTTTCTCACTTTTTCTACCTTCTCTCTTTTTCTTCCTTTTTCTTTCTCTCTCTCTGTCTTCTTTCTCTTTTATTTCTTTCTCATTTTCTTTATTCTCTCTCCGTTTTTTCTCTTTCTCTCTCTGCCTTCTTTCTCTCCATCTTTTCATCTTTCTTTCTCTTTTTTGTTCTTTCTTTTCTTCTTTCTCTCTCTCTCTATTTTTCTCACTATCTTTTTTCTTTCTTTCACTTTCTTTCTCTCTTCTCCCTCTTTATTCATTCTCTTTTTCTTCATTCTCTTTTTTCCCCTTTTAGTTCTTTCTTTCTCTCACTTTTAATTTCTCTCTCTCTCCTCTTTCTCTGCCTGTTCCTTTTTCTCCCTCTTTCCTATTTCTCTCTCACTTTTTCTTCTTTCTCTCTCCTTCTTTGTCTCTCTCTTCTTTCTGTTTTTCTTTCTCATTTTCTTTATTCTGTTTTTTCTCTTTCTTCCTTTTTCTCTGACTTTTCCATCTTTCTTTCTTTCTCTCTTTTATCTTCTTTCTCTCTCTTTTTTCTCACTTTTTCTCTTTTTGTTCATTCTCTATTTCTTCATTCTTTTTTCTCT